AATCACACTGATTTTAATGGGTGGTAAGCATAGGACTGATATTTTTTGAGAGATCTCTGAGAACTTTGAACTGGGTATAATGTACTCATGAAGTGCTGAAATGGAGATTTTCTTTCCTTCAGTCCCTGATAATTGGAATAACTTCACTTTTACAGTTTGTTTTCCCATCTTTTTGTTTTGATTTTTAGTGTTCATACTTTCTGATTTGCTTTTTGAAATCAGTTGAGGAAAGGATTTGATTTTCCTTTCTAATGTTGTAGTTCAACACTTAAGCTGTAAAATTTCTTTTTTGTATTTCTGAACTTGGTTTTTAGTCCCTACTTTATTTGCTTTTACTTGGGTTTTAGAAAGAAATTGAACATCTTCCCTGCCAGTTATGTGAATTCATAAAAAATTCATTTTCATAATGACATAACCTCTCTATGAAGAAGAAATAAATATAAAAATACTTTGTAAATGTTGAATCAGAATTAAAAAAAGGTTATTTCTGATAATAAAGCAAATATTCTGAATGTGAATATATTTTATACCTGTCTGGTAACCTGTTTAAATCTACATCTCAGACTCCACATGAGGAACAGTCCCCTCCTCTTTCCTCAGCTTCCAGAGCATCAGGAAAGATTTTATTAGTGTAAAACAACTTTTTTGGGTTTTTTTATGTGTGGCTGGAGCTGTGGTTGTTTGGTGTCCTTTCTTGCTGCCCCATATTTGCAGCTAGCAGTACAGGGGGCTTTTAGTAAAGAGAATAGATCATGTTTCTCCACCAGTAGTCCCAAGCATTTCATGTTGAAAGACAGATCTTGAATTGGCAGTTATGTGTCCCAGGCTGCAGGGGTTTTTAAAAGGCTCTACATGAAAGTCTTTCAAGCCTGACTCAGTAGCTTCAGTTAAGTTTTTGCTGGTATCTAGTCCTACTTGAAAAGTCACCTCTCCACAAGGTCCCCCAAACAAATTCCAGCCTACTGAAAGCTCAAGAGTTTATAAGGGGGTCAGCAGCAGTACTGATTTCAGCAGACTTGAGACTTTACCAGTGATGCCATTTGTATTTTGGCAAATAAAATCCCTTCAAAAAATTCTGTCAGAGTTACACTTCTTCTCTAGAAATGATATAAACCTTGAAGACCTACATCCTAGTTCACACATCAAAATCTGTCCTATTCTGCTCTTGGACATGGAGTTCCATGGGAAAGAATCAGTGGCTTTGTGCAGAGTCATTTCAATCCTGGAAGTGACAGAGCTATGTAATTCCTACAGTGTGCTATGTAATTCCTCCAGTCATCCCCCTTGGATTAGAGGTGGTTAAGCAAAGAGGAGAATTCAATAAATGGGAGATTAAATAGCATCTACAAGGCTTCAGTACTCAGAATACAACTTTGTGAATTCTCACTGTGTTTTATTTTCTTCTACATTACACACACGAAAAATTATGGGAGGAAGAGCCAGAAGAAATAAATTCCCACTCTTCCTGCCAATTTCCTGGTACTTACTAATCTTTGCTCTCAGCTCAAAAGTTCAGACTGAGTGTCAGATCCATTCTGGCCATCAGGTGGTCTGAGTAACATCATCTTCAAATGCTGCTGGCAGCACAAACAAATACCTTAGTCTTTTACCAGCATGAGAGAATAGGTATTGCCATACTCTTTCTTGAACAAGGCTTCTATTTGATTTATATATAGCAATTTTCACATCTAGCAAATACAGTAGGAGATGATCTTTTGTGGGCGATACAGACACAATGCCAAGAGAAATAAACCCTAGAAGAATATATAGGAGGTGATTACTGAGCAGCCAGGAATAAAAGCACTGCTCAGAAGAAAGAAATTGTGAAATATATTCCAAGAAAATGTATTTTGAGCATACATAATGCTACTCTTTGACTGGGTTTGGACAAGAGAAAGACATACAGTTTTATTTTTCTTTAGAAGCTTGTGTGAATCCACACTACATCCTAGAAGTCAGTGGAAAGCACTATATTTCCCTCCTCCTAGTTAAATTAAGCCCTTAAAAGGGTCATTTGAGTTTTCATCCTGCTTTGGAACTGAGCAAAAATAAATAGAGGTTTTACATCTTTGCTTTAGAAAGTGAAACATAAACATGAAGGTGTCAGCATCATCTGGCTACAGTGTAGAATATGAAGATATGTCCTTTTCAAATCTAAGGATACCTAGATAACATAATGTGAGTTGACTATGTGGCTTATTTTAGCATTGAAACAGCCGTCTACTAGAGTTTTTTAAAAAACTTTTCCAGGTATATGGCAGATAGTATTATTCCACAGCCATTTTTTATGCAATATGATTGCAGATTTGAATAATATTTTCCAAACTGTGCATATAGGATATGTTATATTCATTTCTAAAACCATGGCAGAAACAAAGATTTGGAAAAAAGTAGAAACCAAAAAAGTTGTAAATTTTTCTTCTGAAGCTCCATGATCCTGAGGCCTGGAGCGTTCTTTACTGTGTGCGTCACCATAAACATTTTCAAACATTTCAGCAATAAACCAAACACTTTCCAGCATAAACCACCTTTCAAACTGGTCTTGAGCCATAGGTAAAACCATATATCTCTTGTTCAGGCTGTGTAATAACTGAAGAATTGCCTAATCTCCAAGCTGGTCAGAAACCCAAGCTTTATGGCATGTGGATACAAAATGTGGTTAATACAAATTGGTTAATTTGTAAGAATACTTTGTTAATAGTGTATTTTCTTCTACATCTGGTCAGTCTTTTTTTCTGTGATGTACTGCTTTCCAGTTTCCAAGTTATCTTTAGTTTTTGGCTCTCGTTTCTGGAAGCTCTGAGGCACGTTCATAATGTAAACCACATGAGCATTCCCGCTGCTTCCCGAATCAGGACCTCAGTGATAGCTGGAGCATATGTTCAGCACTGCTGGGCAGGGAGATCCACTCTCTGTTGCCATCTTTCAGCACCTCATCAGTGGGACTGGGAATGCTTGCAACCAGTGAGAACAGATGTAAGAACGTGACCTTGTGCTAGAGAGGTTTGACAGCAAACCCTCTCATTTATTTCCCTCCAGAAGTGTTCTAAGTGAAATTCACTCAGAGGTGAAAATTGCCAGTATGAAGAATTTTGTATTGTTTTTTCTTCAAAAATATTGTGAGACTAGCTGGTTTTTGTTTTTTTTTTTTTAATCTTGGTGACACTATAGCACCTTTTCAGAAAGAAACCTTTCCCAGGCAAATAAGGAATTTTTTTTCCTGAGAGATCACTACCAACAAGTATTAATTTGGGAAAAAACCAAACAACACAAGCATAAAGCAAAACAAAACCAAAGAACAAAAGTAAAACATTTCTTCTAGATGAAACAGAACAGATTAATGAAGTACATATAAAAAGCTGATAAAATTGCATTTATTTATCTTTTGTAGGGTTTTCCTGGCAAGGATGGACCCACAGGCCCACAAGGACCTCCTGGTCCAATGGTGAGTATTGCCCATGGAATTTCTTACTGCAAAAATCAGCAGGATTTGGGGGGATTACAGGTCACACTGTTATCTATGCTAGAGTGGATAGAGCAAGGCCAAAGAAAGTTAAAGTTCTCATGATGCACAGTTGGCAGAGAGCTGCTTGTCCAGTGTAATATCTTTCCACTTCTACTTAGCTCAAGAAGAAAATGTCTCCCATGGGAAGGGGAGAGAGATGTTCTGTCGATTGATAGTTTGTTCTTAGTCAAGCAACTTCACTGTAAAGAAGGAATTCCTGCTTTTAACATTTGAAACAAGATTTTCTTTTTGTCAAAAATTCCAATTAGGAATGTTAGCTGAAGGGAACCACCGAGTTTTACTTGTTTTAGAGGCTGGAGGAGAGCACAGGTGCTCTCATAGAATAATCGAGGAAGACAGCAGAGGCTACATCCAACCTCTAGTGCAGGATATATGTTGCCTTCAGAATCAGTTTCAGCCTTCTCAGAGCAGCTAGGCAAAGTTAATGCCTTCTAAATAGATTTTAAAAATTAGAGGAAGCTGCTGGTTGTACAGAGTATTCTCTAAGTCATCTTGTTGTTTTTTACAAATAACATTCTGAGTCATCCCCCCTGAACAGAGTATTGACATCCCAGGATTTTGTCCAGTGGATCAGCAATTTCTGCCTGTTCCAGAAAGCAACCCAAGTTATTTTTCTCAAGTGTTTTTCTCAGAGCTGTGCTTATGGTGCTGTTTTTCCTGCAAATTGTATTTATTAGTTTTCTCTCTGGGAATCTTGTCTTTGACTGACAGAACTGTCTGTGCACTTCTCCTCATCAGGACTTATGGATGTTGATTGTCATCACCACAATTTTATTCTTTTTCCACACAGGGCATACCTGGTGCTCCAGGTGTTCCAGGTGTTACTGGAAGTCAGGGGCCACAAGGTGATGTTGGAGCTCCTGTAAGTAAAACCAACTAATATTTCTCTATCTGCTGTTGTGCATTGGTTGTTTTCTGAGCCTGGCTTCACTGTTTGACAGAACTTCTCAATATTTATTGCCTATGATCTGTTTGCAGTTAGTGGCTTAGTTAAACATCATATTGACCTTTCTTTGTTCATTCTTTGTAATTAAATATATTTGTTGATCTTACATACAATGTTTGGAATATAGGAATTAGAGTCAAAACAGAAGATCAAAAACACAACTATGTGAATTTGTAGTCTTTATTTAATTACATTCTCTTTTTTTCCCTTTGCCCTTCCAGTGACTCTCTGGAAATTCAAGTATTTATTAACCTGAATATTTCCAAAATATTATTCTGATTTCCAAACTGTGAAAATAATATATGAATAAAACCTTTTTTTTTGGGTTTTTTTTTTTTTTAATTCTTACCAATGGCTTCTTGCTTGGGGTTTTTTTTTTATTTTTTTTATTTTTTGGGAATTTTTTTCTTTTTTTTTTAAATTTGTATTAGGAACCTCCCAATATTAAGTTTATCTCTCAGATATTATTTTTTTATAAATTATTTTAAAAACCCCAGAACAAAACATTTTGACTGAAAGAAAGGAATACAGCTATGAAATTAATATATATTTTACGTAAAAGAAAAATTATAGTGAACTTCTTTGTCTCTGTAAGAGTTCAGACAACATTATGTATTCATATTTTAACATTTGATGACTTTTTTAATTATAAAGATGGTTCAGCTTTTCCCCATCTATTACAGTAGACATTCTATTTCATTTTTAAAGACATCAGAATGGGACAGTGTGGATTTCTGACTCTATTTGTAGAATAGAAAACTTTTTTCCAAAATCCAGTTTGGTTTGGAGATTTAGCCAATGCAAGAATTTTCATTTGGTTAAGTGGAAATGAAATTAAATTGACTGATGATACATAAGCAGAGACAATAATCTAATGCCTAGGTCTGCATAGTTTCTAAGTGTAATAATGGAATATACAAAGGAGATTTGATGAGCTATTGAACTTTTACTATCAATATATAGAATGCTGACTATGCAGTTCCTGTCCAAACACATGTTTCCAAATACTGAACAAAATTTTCTAGAGTGTAGATATTCCTGTGAGTCATGCAAGAGCTCTGTTGTGCATGGTTGGACTCTAGTAGTGCAGAAAAAAGCAGGTGGCTGAAAAATTACTAAGCTTTCTATCCAAAACATAGAGTCATAGAGTAGAGGCCTTAGAAATAGTCTTCTAGTCTTGTAGGAGTTTCCTCTCTGCAAGGATAGAATAAGCTGTGCTTAGCCACGTATCTGTCAGCAACCACAAGGATCACCAAGTCCAGCTCTCAAGTGACTGGCCCATACAGGCATCAAACCATGGCCTTGGTGCTATTAGCATCAGGCTCTGACCAACAGACCTTTCCTTGTCTGTTGGTCAGAAATATGTAGCCTACCCCAAAAACTGACATTGGTGAAGTTGCAACTGCCCTAGACTATGGTTTCAAATCTATAATCCTCCTCACTATCATTACAGTATTACATTATCCTTAATGTCAAATGTAATTTTCTGTGCAGCTTAATCCCATTGCTTACTCTGTTCATTATGGATGCCGAGTCTCAGTACAGCAAATTTCAGGCTGCTATTTTTGTAAAACTTAGACCTGTTTCAGCCATGTGAAATGCATCATTTCAATTCAATGTGTGGCAAACTCTTGTGAAAGTAATTTTTCCCACGTACTTGCCAAAGGTGAACATTTTGTTGAGTACTGAAATGATAGAAGTGTATTTGTGACTGTCACTTAACCTCCTGAAAGCTTGTTTATTGTTTATTTCTTCTCCCTTTACTATGAATCTGCAAGGCAGACAAAGTTCTGGTGTTAAAAATTTTGAACAGAGCAAAAAGATAATTAATTTTGTATTGAATCTTTTCATAGGGTCCTCCTGGAGCTAAGGGGGAAAGGGGTGAAAGGGTAAGTCTGTGTTCATGTTAGCTGTGGGTTTTTTTTCCTGCCTGGCCTTCTGTCTTATAAAGAGCTTTTCCCAAAAATTTATGTTTCTCTGTTTATAGGCACAGTAGTTTTCTCTTTTCAATTAAGCAAACTTTCCTTCTTTTCCAGACATGGTCTTTTATATAGCTACATTAATGTTTTGAAGGTGGTTAGTATGTGGCAGTAAGCATGCCTCCAAATCCCTCATTAGGGTTATCTTTTCAGACCTCTGATTGCTGGCCAAAAAGAGAAATGGAAGCCAATGAAATCACAAAATTTCTTTGGCTTTACTTTCTCATCTGTGAGGATGTAATGTCTCAGCAATAATAAATATCCTTCTTTGCTCAAAGTGCTGTCAGCACAGAACTGATTCAAGAAAAGTTGCATGACTCTGCTGCTGTTGTTATCCAGGGCGATCTCCAGTCCCAAGCAATGGTCCGGGCTGTTGCTCGTCAAGTGTGTGAGCAGCTCATCCAAGGCAAGTAAATAGTCCATATGCTCCTCTCTCTAGAATGGATTTTTCTGCCACAGTTAATTACAAATATGACATTTTTCAAAATATCCAAGGGTATCTGTTTGTTTTAGACTAGACAGTTGAGATTTATGTTTCAACTAGATTTATGTTCAACTGGATTTATGTCCAGCTAGTGCTGATTAGCATCAGCCTTCTGAAAAAAAAAAGCTGGAATTGTCTCCAAGCTATTACAGTATACAGAAGCTTCTGCTGCACCAATTTAAAATTTTTATAGACATAAAATACAGATGCCTCCCAAACCCTTACTGAAGTAAGAAAATAAAATCCTGCACAATTGTTCTTCCAGTTTTTGTGCCCTCCCTAACCTACTACTTCTTCCCTAGTAGTACACAACTTTCCAAAGCATGACAGACCACAGCCTTGAGAACCTCCTAGTATTCTGCTGAAACTGTGTGGAACCAGATTTTCCACTGCTACTTGAAAATGACAACTTTTTATTCCTGACAGGTCATATGGCAAGATATAACTCGATTCTGAACCAGATTCCAAGCCAGTCTGTCTCAACACGAACCATCGCGGGACCTCCTGGTGAGCCAGGTCGGCCAGGGGCTCCAGGGCCACAGGGTGAGCAAGGATCACCAGGCATGCAAGGGTTTCCAGGAAGCCCTGGTCAGCCAGGAAGACCAGGAGAAAGAGGTAGGCTTCATTCTTCACAAACACAAAATTATACCTCCCTTTCCTGATACATTCTAACAACTTTTGTCTCCCGTCTAAATGTGAAAGCAACATTTTCTCATTAATTAATTGGTGAGCTTAACACAGACCATAATGAAGGCTTTGGAGACTCTGTCATGAAAATCATGCAGGCTTTGCCAAGTGTGTTTTGGCAGGATCAGACGGAGGTTTAATGTTTAAACTGCTGAAGATTGGTGGAATCTAATTGTGCACATCCCATCACATCATGTTTCTTCTTAGTAAGACTCTAAAGTGAGCGTAATCTCTAAGTGTATATGCAAAAGAGCAATTGAAGAGAGTCAGATGCAAAATTGATGTGTATGTTGGGGAAATGCTGAGCTTTTCTGATAACTTCAAATGTGTCAGTCTAGGAATTTCTGAGTCATGATCACCTGAAAGAAGCAAGATTGATAAAAAGAGAGAAAAATTCCTACTTTGAGGGGTTTGGAGAATCAAGAAGAGGAAATGGTGAGGTCAGAGAGAAGTAATACATTTAACATTTACAAGAATTATCTTCTGTATTCTCATGTGCAGGCTAGATCCCATTCTCCTTTCCTCCATGAGCATTTTCTAATAATGAAACAAGCTCCATGTTTGATTCACTCTCTTTCTGTGCAGCCCTGGCTATCTTTTGTGTCCCAGAGTAGCACTAACCTCAGGACATAATACTGAGTAGATCTATAATTGTGAAAGTGCTTTAAAGAACATCACATGAGGAGGTGACCAAAAACCCAAGAGACAAATGTGATATTCAGAAGCAGTGAATTGGTGTTGCTGTTACAAAATATGCTAACTGGGATTTTAAAAATTAACTGCTGTGAAGACTATTCAGGAATTTAATAGTTCCAGTTCACAGTAGCTATTATAACCATAGTTAACTAAATACTTTTTAAATAGAAAGTCTTTTGAGTGAACTTGTGAGTCTTGCCCTCAAGACTGTAAATCTCATTACCATTTTGAAAAAAAAAAGGAAGGTTTCAGGTGCTGACCCTTCAGTCCTGCTGTTGCCTGCTCCAGCTGAGCAAAAAACAGGCACTATCCAGAAAGGAGGAGGAATGAGGTAGTGTGAGACAAGTAGAAAAGAAGATTGGAAGAGACAGCAATTGAGGAACTGACTTTAAAAAGGGTGATCTGGAGACAGTTAATACAGATTTCAGGATATTTGATTCCACACTAGCATATTTTAAATATTTCCCTTCTTTCTGGGAAGAGAATTTTCAAGCTAGGACTTTGGGAAAGGGAAAACCAAAATGCCGGGCTACAAAAAAGGAACATATCCAACATTTAGCCTGTACTTTTTTGTATTTGCTGTGCTGATGTCCAGACATGCATATTGTGGGATCACAGACTGATTAGATACAGTCATTTAAATGAAACATCATGTGGGTTGGCCCACTGCAGACAATATGAATGTTTGGGAAGCAGCATTGGCAATAGAGCGCAGAAAGGGTAAAAAGACATGAAAAAGAATATTGCCCCTTCCCTCTCTATATGGATAACTGATGTTAGAAGGAACTGATTTTGGCAGGTAGTGCTTGTGGGGAGTTTTATACTTGGTAGAGAGAAAGCTCTAATCAAGCATCTTTCAGAACTGCAGTCAGATTTTCATAAAATGTGATACCAAATGTTGGGAGTGTTCTACAATATTTTCAGTTTAAAATGAAGTTGTTTCAAGAATCAAGAATCCATGCGTAAACTTTAAGACAAAATAATTGTCTAATTTATTTGGAGTTAAAATAGATTTTAGGACATTCATGTAACTGGAGCCTTAAAAAGAATCTGAAAGAAACAGGAAGGAGCTCCTTTAGAAATGAGATGAAAGCATATAATAATTTATTGCTTCTTGAGGTTTTAATTTCTTCAGAAACTACTAAACTTTCAGACTGATGTGTGTTTGATGCAGTAGGACTTTACTGAGCAGAAAGATATCTTTTGCTACAGACTCATGGTGTTTCTGAATAAATTTCTAAGGAATTGCTTTAAGCCAACCCCAAAATGCAAAAATTAAAATTTAAATTTATTTAACCAGCTTGTGGAGAATGATTGGAAGTTTTTCATGGATTCCCAATTCTTGCTTGATTTGACATGTCATACATGGAAGCAGCAGATTAAATTGCTCAGCTTCTGGATGGAAGGGTTTTTAAGTTTCCAGTGACGACAGAGAGGAGAGTAAATGGAGTCAGACTCCATCCCTTGCTATGTTCTGGAGCATTGTTTTCATTTAACTTGTTCGGCAAACACAATGTTTCATCCCGTCCTGAAGATCTCCAGCCAGCCACCTGGAAGTCTTTATGTAAAATGTGTTCCATTAATGTCATCAGCATTTTGGTTGCATATGAAGCCGATTTAATGTTCAAGCCCAGTGCCAGATTTGCAACTCTGAAAGTCAAGTTGTGCATTTAAGTTCAGGAAATTCCCTGCAGCCGAGTGTGCTAAGAAGTAATAGTCATTAGAAGGAAAAAACACTGGTTTGCTTATCTAGTAGTGCTGCTTTCCCCCCCTCAAACCGTTGGAATTGCTACAAGAGCCTGTTACGGGCTCCGAGCTGAGTGGCAAGGTTCTGGTGGAGTGGGAAGAAGGCCAGATGTTTCTTTCAGCTCAGCTCTCTTGCCTACCACCTTTTCAAGCCCAATCTATAAGAAGGGGGCACTTCATAAAGCAGCATGTGGAACTGTCTAGAAATGGTGCACCACAGAGACCTTTACTGGAAATGTCAGCAGTGGGAGACATCAGTGAACTTCCCTGCTAACTTGCCTGGCTAACAGCTTCTTTTCCCTTGTTTATGTTGTCACTCTGCCAAGCATTAATCAGAGGCTTTGGAAAGAGACATGGATTGAGTGTATGGAGCTCTGTTAGAAACCTCCACTTGAACTTCTATGTCCATGATGTCCCATTCCTGGATGGGATTCCCCTTAGTAGTAGCACATTGAGCTGGTCTTTCCAAGAAAGACCACCTCAGTGAGAAAGGACAAGTCATTCCCTCGCCAGATTCAGTTCTCAGTGTCTGTTGCCAGCTGAGAGGCCACATTTTATTACCAGGCCCCTACAGCATATAATCCCAGATAAATCACTACAATTTTGCTCTTTGCTTATTTGCATAAGTATAGGAGTTTGGAAGAAAAAACAAACACTGATTATTCACAGCCCTTATCTCTATTTTAATTTTAACTAGCTCACAGCATTGGTTTCTATCTTCCTTTCAGCTAGTTTGAACATATTTTGTTTTGTTTTTGTTTATGATCTGGGACTTAAACAACTAGTGCCTGACTTCTGAGTGCCCAGGAGGTAGTTGCATCTCTGCAAAATGGTACAGAAACCAAAAGAATCAACATGTTGTTTTCTTCTTTTTGGTTTCTAGTTATTTTTGTAATATATGGGTAGTTTTCTCAACTTTGTGGAAAGATGGAAAAGCCATAGTAAAAATTATTCTGAGGCACTGCTAACTTTCAGATGCTGTGAAAGTGCAGCTCTTCTACTACTGAATGGACTTCAGCTCTTATGTGGTCTAAAGTGGTGAATAAAACTTACAGCTACTCAGCCCATCCCCACTATGATTAAAATACAATAAATACCTAAGCTGTCACTGGGAAAGTTACTGTTCTCAAGCACAGCTTCATCCTTATTTACTTCCTGGCTTCATATGAAAGAGCCAGTTAAACATGTGTTATCAAAAGACACGTTTACAGCTGTGATGGCAAAATTTCAGTGGAATTAAATGGAACTTTTGCCAGTTTCATCAACTAAATATTTTAATTTCCAGTTTTAGCTTCATCTGTATTAGAAAAGAAAAAAAATCACAACCATGTGTTATTTTACACTATGCTCACAGCTGAACATCTTGAAAAGAGGACATTTTTGGTATAGTTTAATTTTTCTTAAGTGCATAGTTCTCACAGGACAGTATTTTCTTGAAGACAAAACAGGTAAAGAACACCTGATATTTCCATTTGTGCAGATACCATGGAAATTTATTTTTCTTTGCTAGAGAACATGTTCATGAGTTTGGTGTTTTCAATAACTGATGCTATCAGTTATTTTTAATGAAGGGCTGGAAATAATTGATTTCAGTTGCTTGTGATCTCCATGGGGCTGAACTGAAGACGTGTATTTTGGATGGGGACAAGACGTAAAGCCATGGTTATGAGGGGGGAGACAGTTTGATGTTATTGCTGAAGCATGTCCAGAGCACAGATATGAAAGCAGTTCCTGGGATCCGAAGGCATTCGTAACTCAAATGGCAGTTTGGATACACACACTTTCGTTCTAGGGCAATTAACCATTGCAGCAACCCACAATGCAGTAACCCACAAGAGTGATGGCTTGTTTGCTTGACTTTCTGTGAGCCATGCTCTGCTAGCACCAAATATGACTTGGGTCAATTTTGAATATTCTGCCATTTATCAGGAGTGAGCCAAGAGGTCTGTGAGTCTCTTAAGTCCCTTAGGGAAGCTCATGGCTTTAACTCATGAGCATTTTGCCTTAAGAGTAGGATATTTTTGCCTCAGTGTTTATGTTCTCTTTAACTTGGATAAACTTTACTGGAAATCAGACTAAAAGAAACCTGATGCAGACTTTTATCTTGGCCTTCAGTGTTTGCTTTCGAAGAAGGTTTGCCCTGCACAAGATATTCATCATTTATTCTAGAATAAATGTTTTCTTCTTAGCCTGAGTAGATTCATTCCATGTTTAGCATTTCTTACTGACATTTTATCCTGTGAACATCACATATGAGTGTGTAGTTTTATGTGTTAATAATTATAATTGAGTGCATGGCAGGCTGTGATTTCAAAACATTGTGGCTGTTGCCTTTGAAGTCACCAAGTAATGTTATCATGCAGTAGGATAAGCAATGGTCCTTGTACTAAACAGCTGTGTAGATTGCAGATGGTTGTAATGGGTCAATCTTCTAAGGAAAAAAGCAATTCACACAAACAGATTTTACCTTTTGCAAAGGGCAAACCTTTCCTTGCAGGTCCTCTGTGGTGAGAGTTAATTTGGATTGTAACATTTACCTTATTACAAGGCCTGCAGCACAGACAGAGAATTGCAATAGATGAGTTTCTGCATATGTTTGAAGCAAGCCAGGGCTAAGCAAATTTCAAGCATGTGGAAAAAACCACCACCACCCTTCCCTCAAAATTATACAACTGAAGGAAATAAAAGGCAAAAAAGCAAAACAAACAGGCAATGCCTTAACTATGCCAGGACAGTGACAAAGAACCTTGTAGAGGTAAGGTAAAAAGGTCTTCCATGATTTGGTTAAAAATGATGTGCTCACTGTGGATTTACTGGTTGCAGTGGTGTAACTTGTGTTTTCCATGTCGTTGGGCCAGACATTATGTTGCCCTGGAAGCCTCTTGCTCCTGCAGAAGACCCAGAACTCCACAGATGCTGAATCCACTTCAGTTCAGCAGACTCGTATTTGATAAACTTGTGCGAGCAATTCTTTGCCACTGAGGGGTTTTAATTACAATTTTTTCCACACTTAGACTTTTTATTTATTTGCTTCCATTACAAATTAGCTTAAGAAGGTAAAAAATATCTTCTGTAACTCCCTGAGGGGAAGCCTGATGAGGAGGGGCTGAGACCACTTGGTTTGTTCAGCCTGGAGACTGAGGAGAGACCTCATTGCAGTTACAACTTCCTTGTCAGGAGGGGCAGGCACTGATCTCTGCTCTGTGGTGACCAGTGACAAACCCAAGGGAATGGCCTGAAGTGTCAGGGGAGGCATAGGCTGGGTATCAGAAAAAGGTTTTTTACCCAGAGGGTGTTCAGGCACTGGAATTGCTCTCCAGGGAAGTGGCCACAGCATCAGCCTGACAGAGCTCAAGAAGCTTTTGGACAATGCTCTCAGGCACATGGTGGCTCATGGTGATGGTCCTGTACAGGGCTGGGAACCAGACTTGATGATCTTTGTGGTGTCTTCCAACTTGGCATATTCTGTGATTCTGTGATTCCTTGCAAAAATGAGGTGTTCTCCAGCTGTTTTGCCCTAAGAGGTAGCAGTTACCTGAGCAGAGAGGAGGGAAGGAGCCCAGTCAGTGGAACTGTAGATATTGCCCCATCCAGGGCAGCATCTGTTTTCTTCCTGCTCTGTGTTGCTGAAGGTGCCATGTATAGACTTTAATTCTGAAAGTGGGGAAGCTGTGAAGCCAGGAGAGCAATTAGCAGTGCTGGGAGGGAGGTCTGGAAAATGGGGGGAGAGAGGTCCTACAAACCAGCCAGGATTTGGTGTCTTTGAACCATCCAAATCAAACACAGACTTTATGAGAATTTCCAAGTCACCAGTGGAAACTCAGGGTCTGGAATTTATAGTTCTGACACCTACTATAGTTCAACACTGCTTATTGTGATGGCTGCATATAGCAAGTGCTTTTATAGGATGCCATAGCAATAGTGCTGAGGATGGAAAGCTGGAAGTTAGCAGTGCTTTCTCTCAACTATGAGATTTGTGATCTCCATGGATCAGACACAAGGAGAGAAACTTAGCCCCACAAGCGAGTGCAGGAGCACAACTCACTGGGTCTGCCTGTTGGAATATCAGAGTTTCAAGACTGGGAAATGCTTGGATTGTGCTTTACATGGGGGTCAGATTTTGACTGTGATAAAATTCCTTTCTCATGTGTTAGAAAGAATCTGCCATAACTGGTAACAACTCTCTCCATGAACAATCTTGTTCTGTACCACTCTTTGGTGGGCAAATGTTTGAAGGAAAATTTGCTGTAGCACTGAAATTTGACTTTTTTGGGCCACACAGTAATTTATAGCTATGAGGCTTGGAAGACTCTTCTGACTTACAATAGTAGCGCGCTGGTGTAGTTCAGAGGCAGCTTTCCACAGGAAGTGCAGCCTGGAAACTGGCTGATGCCTCTGCATGCCATCCTGATGAAACCACCATGGCAGCAGGAATGTTTAAGACCCCAAGAATGACTTTTCCCTTCAGAGGCTGTCAGGGGAGGGATGGAAAAAGAACCAAACAATTTTTAATTTTCACCTTCTTCCTTCTCTGCCATCTGTTTTTAGATGAAAAATAACATATGGAACTATAATCCTGGTTCAATAATAAACACTACTCACACTTTTGATCAAAATGTGATTGAATACTATTTCCTTAGGTTTACCAGGTGAGAAAGGAGAGAAAGGCAATCCAGGTGTTGGAACACAAGGACCCCGAGGCCCACCAGGATCCACAGGTAAACTTACATTTGAGGCATCTGGATTAGACCACTCTGACCACATGTCAAGAAGCTTACAGCAGCTCTGTCTTTCTCCTTAAGGAGAGTAACAGAAGAGTAGCAGTTCAGGCACCATAACTGTCATAATGTTCTTACTATGTAATATCATGTTGGGATGTGCCACAAGATCGTGTCACCCGTCACACAAATATTTTCATTTTCCCTATGATAAACTGCTTCCCCAAGCCCACCTTTTTAAAATGTTTCATTAATTTTTTTTTCTGACATGGATTCTAGGAGGGGAAAACATTAGTTTGGATTGATTATATTTGTTTTCTCGTTGACTTAATGTCATACATAAATGTGAGTTGACAGAGAAATGTATAGTAATTAAGCACATTATATCACATGGATTTATATTTAGGTCCTGAAAAAGCAGAGAGAGTGATAACCAGGTCCTGTTGAAATAGGAGTAAAATTGCTCATGAGGGTATCTTGGCCATTAGGCACTGGTATCAAGTCACAGCATTACCCAGAAACTGTATTGAAAGGAAGTGGGATGAATCAAGAGCTGTGCAAGCATCCAGGGCTGTCCTTTCCCCATGAAAATCCATTTCCAGAAGTCTGATGTTTGGTGAAACATTTGCTCCAGTTCTGCCTAGAAGCTGTCTCTGGGCTAGGAAAATGAAGTAGCAGCCAGAGAGGAAGCTCATTGGAAGTGGGTCTCCTCTCCAGCTGCTGCTCTGTCTTCCTTGCCAGAGGCTGAAGTCTTTCCCTCAGTTTGCCCAGGGGAGCCAGAGCCAGGATGCCTTGCTCCTCCTCTCAAACTGTCTCCTGAAAGTGTTTATGACACACTCAGTGCCATGTTTTCCAGGCCAGGAAAGATGGCCTCATATCCCTGCTTTCATGACACTATGCAGATGTTTAATCTCTGTTCTATGCAGGACCTCCAGGAGAAAGTCGAACTGGCAGCCCGGGACCACCAGGATCTCCAGGCCCACGAGGTCCTGCTGGTCACACGGGGTCCCCGGGCTCACAGGGTCCTGCTGGGCCTCCAGGGTACTGTGACCCATCCTCCTGCGCTGGGTACGGCATGGGAGGTGAGTAGCCAGCAGTCAGGACAGCTGCCGCTAGCAGAGGTGTGGGTGGCATTTTCTAACAGCCCAAGTGAGATGGAGGCTACCGATGAAACTTGCACTAAAATGTGGTGGCCCCTAAAAACCTGCGTGTCCAATGGCTCTACTTTGTGGGACTGCAGCACGAAGAGAAGGTGACCCAGCATAGTGACCAAAGGAAAGTGACCACCATCTGATCCCAGCCCGTAAAACCCATCCTGCCTAGTGGGTTTTGTCCTGTTCGTGTTTGTATAGTTGTATGAGCCTGCTCCATCTCCATATTCTGTGTTGAAGCCCTACCAACTCATGTTTGTGACAGCAGAGTTTTTACACTTGTAGTTTTTCAAATGTGTTGCTCAGCCTCCCCTTCCATGTGCCTCTGAGTGGCATGAGAGCATGACCCTTACTAAACCTGTAGTAATGTAACCTGGCACAGGGATGCACGTGTCCATCATTAACCAGTGAAGCCATCTGGAGAAAATTATTCTTTCTATATCTTCTCTGTATCCTATTTTCCCATCTCATTATAGCACGTAGAGGCCATGGGAAGAAGTTAACACTATTACCAAAAATTACATCACCCAACCTAAAATAAAAATTTATTAGTAAAGCACTAAACTACAAATGTTATGCATAAGGCATATTTGTTTGATGTTTAGAGTTTAATCTGCCCCTGAGCTGATTTGTATGTTTTACTTACCTGAATGTTTTTGTTGTCGTCTCTTCCTATCCTTTTCTCCTCACTTCCCCTCCCCATTGTTCATTTCCTGTTTTAAGGCCCAATCCCTTACAATGGCTACCAATACAGAAGGTGAAAGGCTCATTCTGGTTCAGGTCTCATTGGGCTGAAGGTCAGAGATGGATGCTGAACTGCTCTGTGCTTTCCAGCAACGATAATGACTACCACTAATGAACTTACAGCTGCTGTACATGCACTTGGCTTCCTGGCACTGCTAAAAATTATTGCCTGACCTGTTTTTGCCTGCTACTCATGTATTCTAGCTCATAATTGGAATAAGCTATAGCAGGCAGAGTGTGCAGTGTATAATGAACACAGTATTACAACCGGATATTTGACAAATTGTGGTGGTGGTTTCCAACTAACTTGGCTGTCTGTTGGTGGGTTTCCAATTGTTCCAGCTTATTAATTTTGTTAAATGTTTTCATTGTTCCTTTACGTGAATAAAAGGTGTGTATTTAAAGATTATATATATATACTCACACACATTATATAGAAATATATCTATATATAAAATGTCAATTTCCTAATGAATGCTTCAATTTTCTACTCCCCTTCTCCTGTGTTAACCGTATGAATACTCTTGGTGGTGGTGGGTTAAGGTGGATACGGTGAGCCAACTGATCAAGACATCCCAGTAGTGCAGTTGCCACATAACTCCTACCAAATCTATGACCCTGAGGACCTTTATGATGGTGAGCAACAGCCGTACGTAGTTCACGGGTCCTACCCCTTACCATCCCCATACTCCCAGTCCTATCCATCACCTCATCTTGCTCAACCAGAGTTTACTCCTGTTCAAGAAGAGATGGAAGCTGTTGAGCTGAGATCCCCGGGAATCAGTCGCTTCGCAAGGAGGATAGCCAAAAGGAGTGCCAAGACCCCAGTACGCACAAAGGCGAATGGAAAAAGCCCCCCTCAATGAACTGTTTAAAAAAGGGAAACATTTTATGCACACCTGTGTTTGGCCTTTTGCCCCGGTGCCTCACCTGTCACTGAAGATGTTTACAGGCTCTTATGTTAAAGGAGAAAAAAGTGTACATGGCCAGTTGACACAACAAATAATGGTAATTATCTTGCATGCCAGAAGTTTAGTATGTTAGTGGGTTGGTGCTAGCTGATGATGAAAGGTCACTTGTAGATTTTCCTTTGGAGTACTGTTCCGTTCACTCTTCAAACTGTATCTGAAAAAATGCATCTGGCTAGGTGGTGTACGTAGAACCATTCACAAAAGTTAATGTTTTGCTATCCATTTTTTTCCAGTTGATTACTTTCTGTTTGTTTTGGATTAATTGTTTACTAGCAGAGTAACCTGACTAATTCCACTGGAGAACAATGCATCAGGTGTCCTTGCACCCAGGTTATTATCCTTTTGTAAAGATTTCTTACATTACAGACCACTGTTTTCTTAACTCACCTAAAATAAATACACAAGAATGTTCCGTGGGAGCACACTGATAATTTATTGTGAACCTCTGTCATTTCTGTTTTGTATGCAAATAAAAGTGGCAAGCTTTTGTATAGTAATTCTGTAGTCATTTGATTTTTAACTCAAAACAACTGCATTAGATCTTCAGGGGACAGAATGCAATGAGAAGGAAATGTATTTCTGGTTTCCAACAGTTTGGGGCAACAGTTCTATTTTAAAGGATGCAGTATAAACATTATTTAGCCATGTTTTTTAAGTTGTATATGGACAAATGCAGAGAGTAACTATGAGCTGAGGTAGTTGTAGCAACTGCAGATGTGTGCAGATTGCTTATGTTGACATGCCCAAGTCAAAAGACTGGCAGGTGTAGTTGGGATGCCTAACAAGGAGAGAAAGGCAAAACACTAACCCAACCACTTGAGCACAGAGCAATTCATAATCTACAAACAAGGTAAGTTGAAAAGAGACTCAATAAACAGCTTTGAACAGCACTGGAGACTGAGCAAGATTTAGCTCAAGAATGGCCGTTTAAATTGAAAGCATAGGCTTTGAACACTTTTTCTTCAGCCCTATACCGACACGGAGAGGCTGTCCTGTACATCTCAGGACTGTTCTCCTCTTCATCAATGAAATCTCTTCTACTGGGCTGACAGTAGACCTTCTCCTAGTGAGGAAGAGTCACTTCAGAAAATGCACTGCACAACCCCAAAGGGGTGTTCTGGCTGGTAGCAAGCAGAGCTATCAACACTCTGGACCAACAGAGTGTGCCACCTGCAAAAGCCATGCCCAGTGGAGCAGTGCTCTGTCTGCTGCTTTCCAAGGCAGACAGAACCATAGGGATATTGACTCTCCCAAAGACAATCATGTAACATCTCAACAGCAAGAATAAAATACCATTAGGAACACACTTAATGATATTCAGCAGCTAGAAAGTAGAGCCACCTTTGCTGTTGTCATTTAGCACACCCAAGATTTAGATGCAGATAAACAGTAGTCTGAAAAAGTAAGATTATAAAAAAATAGTAGTTGTCATTTTGTTCCTTAGAGCACAATGTACCAAAGATGGCCAAAGCTCAAGGATGAAAAATTGTGGCTGGTGACCATAATTATTCTCCTACACGGAATAAAGTTTTGCAACTTTTACAGTGAGCTACTTCATAGCAGTAGTCAATGTCTTGTTTCTATGAGACGCAAATATTCATTACAAAGGTATTAATTCTTTAATAACAGTATCAAATCAAATGTTGTTAAAAAATACCAAATCATGCAATGCAGAGTACAGATGCCATTAACAAGATAAAACCCATTCTTAGCTGTTTCAAATACAGTGATTCTATAATCTTACCAAGTCAAATTTGCTAACAGCTGTCAGAAACGTTCAGTAGAGAAGGGTTGGCTGAGGTGCACAGATCCTTCCATAGTAGAAGAATTTTCTTTGAAGGAGAGGCACTCCTGATGGCACTTTTTTTTCATTCTTATTACTTCCTTCGAAAATCTTTAGGTCTGTGGGGGAAAAAAATATTTTAATAAATGCATGTGCACTGCAGTAGCTTTGCTTTAGGACTGCAGTAGCAGCCTCATCTAGTTTTATTTCCTTACTCTGGTGAAGTTTTTTTGACAAAGAAGAATATTATCTGGATTACACAAACAAGACAGAACAAATTAAAGACATTTACTAAGACCTCTAAAAATTTACAGACATTGGGACTAGTTGGTCACTCCTGCTTTCCTAAGCAAAACAAAAAAACATCTTGAACTGAATGCAGTCTCACAGGGCTTTAAACACAGGCACTGATTTGTCTTCACTTTTAAAAATTGAATAATCCATGCATAAAGTGGTAAGTTTTAGTTAACATCACAGTCCAACACAAGTTTTAACTTAAATAAAGTTAAAACTGATGATTTAAAAAAACTCCTAACTTGAATCTTAGAAGCAGACTGCTGTTTGCAACCCTCTGTGATCTCCTATTCAGGCACATCTTTCTCCCTGCCTGTCTGCCACACATCCACTGGCTGCAGGAACCACATTCTTCCTGAAACTACACAGCTCAGACCAGCTTATGGCTTTTAGAGTGCTGAGTTTGCAGAATCAGCACATCTAACGTGTCCTGCAGAGAAGTTGCACACCCTGGACTCTGCCCAGTCACTCCCCAGTGCAGGTCAGGGTCTCTGAGGTCCCAGGACGTGCCCGGTGTTCGCAGCCCCCATCCCACACAGCTGCAGCCTGCAGGAACACAGTGCTCCTCACTGCTCCTCTCCTCAGTGGATCAAAGCAGCTTGGGGAACTCACTGGACTCACCAAGACAGGTATTAACAAAGGTTTTAGAGACATCTAAAGGAATACAGGGTCAGATTTGCCATTAAGTTGAATGAAAAATTCTGGCATACAGGAAAACGTGCAAACAGCTACAGTAACCAAGTTAAATTTCCAAAGGTGGTAACATTTTATCTTGTAATTCAGCTCAATAATGGAAATGAAAAGCAGACACCAATGGAAGCAGACTTACTTTAAAGACTGAGAGTTCAGATGGCCGCAGAGATGCCACATAAAAATCCAACACTTGTTTAGTCCCATGTTGCAGTTTTAGAATTTGCCAAGTAATAGCACTGCAAAGTGAAGTCATTCACACAACTCTTGTATGAGCCCATAGGTTCTCACATGAAAGCAACTCTGGAATTCAGTTTGTGTTATTTCAAGAGTAGCATATAAAATTGTGTGAATTTTACAGAACAACTATAAAGAAGAGCTAGTGTTCATGCTGTAAAGAATCACAAAGCTGCTCTGTTCCCCATTTAAATAGCATATTCTGTATTAACATTTGGGCTTGTATTTTTGTGCATGACAGAACTGCTGCAAGCACCATATATGTTGTTTACATACTTGCTTAATGTTGAACATACTCATTGTTTGATGGCTGGTGTGCGCTGGGAAGATACTTGGAGATATTCAGAGAATAGAGAATCAGAGAATGGTTTGGGTCAGAAGGGACCTTAAACATCCTCTGGCTCCAGCCTCTCTGCCATCCCATATTTTGTTACTCAGATCTCAGCGTGCATGCCAGAATAGGTATTTCATTATATCAAACTGTTTGTTGAGTAGTAAGAGTATGGGATTTTGAAAAGTTCTCAGCAGTGACTTAGAAGTTTTATCACTGCATCCATCCTAGACAAGTAGATGGTGCTGAAGATTTTAGGCAACGCAACATGACAAAGACATCCTTGTCTTGCAGCTTATAGTTATTATTCTTTCTTTTTAGAAACCAATCTATTCTCTTATATATTGCTCAAAGGATTTTGCATTTTTCTATTAATGACTCCCCTAAAACTTCCATCTAGGGTTATGCTGGATTGCTGCAGAGCTACAGGTCTCACAACACTTTGTTCTGGGGTGAAAAACTTCTTTTTTTCCTTGCTTGCTTGTAATCTGCATTTCAACTTTAAAGCTCATTGTTTTAAAATTTACATGCATAAAAATGCATAAAACACTGGACTCTTAGTTTGCAGTCTTATTAAGTTAATGAAGCTTAAAGACAGGATTTTCCACACTGAAACACTCGTGTGAACAAATACAAAAGTTTTTAAAGCCTTTTCTATTGCTACAGTAGGCTTTTTATGCCCACTAGTACTTGGCTTTTGGACTGCTTTTGAAGAATTCTTGGCACCAGAAAAGCTAAGCCTTGGAAAACACTGACTTTGGCAAAAGTGTTACAGGCATTTTGTCAGACGAAGAATATGAACCCACAAAAATGCTGTCTAGTCAGAGAGAATTATGAACTACTTGTGAGCATCAATGGGTAACTGCTCATTGATAAGTGACACAAATCCATGTGAGAGGCTGGTGGCAGCACTTTTGCCTTTCCTCACCAAAGGCCTGAGTTTATGCACTTGGAACAAAGGAAATGCTATCTCCTAGAACAGACAGTTCAGAAATTCACCCAAAGGGCAAAACTTCACATAGCTGTTTCTCCTTTTCTTTTTAAAGTAACATTCTTGGGGAAAAGAAGTTTTGCTGTATAGTGACAGGAGATTCCAAGACAAGGGAAATGGGGGAATGTGGGAACCAATGTCTCTAAAATCTATGCTGAAATGCAAGCTATTATGTTTTCACTGAAAATATACATTAGTCTGTGCAGCAGATGTCTGCCACCAAAATATTTTAAAAATATTTGTCTCATTTTTATATTTGACAAAAATATTTTTAAACCAAAAAAATATTTGTATCATTTTTGTAACATTTGTATACTCCACATAAAAAGTGTTAAGACAGTTCTGTGAGTTCTAGGCAAAATACTCAGCTAATTAAGTCAGCAACCCTTTTGTTACAGGAGGCCTCTCAGTGCTTCTCTCTTAACAAATACTTTACCACTGAGTAAAAGGCACTGAAGAGCTAGTCCCAAGCTCTGATTACAGCTTTTAAATCTCTTAAAGCTGCGCAGGGAAGTCATGGATTCTGCCTCTCTGAAGGCACTCAAAACCCACGTGGATGTATTCCTGTGTAAGCTGCTCTAGGGGACCCTGCCTTGGCAGGGGGGTTGGACTGGATGATCTCCATAGGTCCTTTCCAAACCTTCACAATTCTGTGATTCTGTAAATTCTCTCAATTTTTATCCATACTCACAGCTATCAGAAGGGAAATACAGCTGATGTGAAATGCTGACAAATCCACAGCCACTGAAACTTACAGAACATATAAACCTGCACTTATGTCCAGCTCCTAGGATCAGCTTTTGTGGTGGAAAACAAAAGAGTCTTAGTGGTCCCCACTGGTACTGGTAGAGAGCTTCCCAAAACTGTGCAGAATAGATGTATTTCATATAAATGTTGTCTTCTGATATGGATGCCAGCCCTTCACTCTGCAGCGTTCAAAAAAACCAATGGACTGTGAGAGTTTTCCCATTTACAGGAAAATAGTAGCTGCTTTGCTCTGTACCCCACTTCATGAAATTAGACTGAGGTCAAACTAAACCTTAGAACATGGAGAAGTCCTGCCTTTTTTCATTGACTTTAAAGATAACTTGAAGAGGCTCCTGTCCTTGGGCTACAGCTTGCCATAGTAAATTCTCTCTTCGGTGTCTCTGCAGATTTCGCAGTTACAGTTATGTTTTGAAATGCACTGCAGAGTTTAGTGCTGGCATCTGTATCATTAATTAATACTGGAATTTGGTGAAGATATGTGTACTTCCCTGGCAACTCCAACCAACTCCAGCATACACACACCCCTTTGTGCAGCTGCATGAAACAAGGCTGTCTTTAACCTAGGTCAGTTCTCTGATTCTCCATTCTGTTGCCACACAAGCAGAATGGAGAGGCAGGAAAATGGATGGATAATTCTTAAAACCCAGCCTTATTGCCAGAAAAAATGCTCATGAAGCTATGACCTCAGCCTCTGAGCATCTCAGATGGCAAACAGAAACTAACAGCACAAAAAGACCTACTTGCAGATCTGCAACTATGATGGGACACCCCCACTTCACAGAATATTCAATATTCTTTTTCAGTGTGATGTGAAATACCCACTTTCAAGGGTATTTTTCCTGTGAGAAAGGAGCAAGACAGACCCTCTGCAATAGTTAAGTGTGTTCAACTCTCAACTCCTGGAGTGAATATTTATTTCAATCAGCTCTGAATAGACTTGCTGCATAGCTCCATCTTTATTAAATTCTTGTCAGCACATTCCAGCAATGATGTTTCCCTTTGCCTAGCAATGCTTTGTGGAGGTAAAGCAGCCTCAGAAAAATAAAATAAGGAGTGTGTGTGTGTTACTCTATGAACTTCAAATCTAAATAATCATTAGTCCGTACTATACTGCAACTAACTTGATTTCAAAAATATACAGGACAACTTCACCATCTTATTTCTAGGCAAACAAGCTAAAACCTTGTAGCATCTTACAAGCAGATAGGTTAGCATTACTAACCTTAAGGAAATAATAAATGCTGTAGAGTAATATATGACACTGTCTATTCCATATGTACAGCAGTTATTTTGCAATCCAGACAATATTTTAAAAAATATTTTCTCTTCATTTTTAATGACTCAGAATACCTCTTCATAACTATGTATTTGAATCCAAATGACTTTGTTTCTTAGAACTTCTAAATGCACTGAGATTAGCTATAACAATAATTTGTAGTTAACACTGCCCTTTCTTCTTCCAAAAGAAGTGACCCACCTCCCTAGTTTCTTCTACTTCATGCTGCTGATAAACAGCATTTGATAACATGACCTTATCTTCTTTCAAGCTCAAAAACCCTGGATAGCCATTTCTCCACAAACAATCCCAACTCACGTGGCTTTGCCATTACACTGCATTGTCTGAGACTTTTCAAAACAAGTTTTATGAAGTCAAATCTCATGGAATTGTTGCAGTCATGTGTGCTTGCAAGCCTGTGTAAATGACTGGGAATGGTTTCAAACCTGCCTCTGCTGAGGAGTAAGACATTCAGTGCTGCACAGTAAGTGACCTGCCAACACCTGCTCTTGACTCAGCAATGCACACCTGG